CAACATTTTTGGTGTCGCTAAATGTGCATACATCACATGATTCCGCCACGAGACGAGCTAGATCAAGCTCGTGCGTCGTCGGATGTGCTTCCATTTGGGCACAGTTGCAAAATACTAGTGGTTGGGGTGCCACCTGGTGGCACCGCTTGAGAGAAAGTTGTGCACACATTTTCATTTTGAGTCCTCGCCTTTGTCTAAAAAAACATCTCAGAAAAAAAATCCTCACCTCGATCTAAAAAATGAAGTAAAAAATTGCCACAATAGCCTACCAGCGAGCGCCACTTTGCATAACCCTCCATTTAAAAAAATACCAGAGGTCCTCACCTCCATCTAAAAATATATATTTAAAAATAATCTTACCTTCATCTAATTTTTTTCCAAAAGATTTATCACCACGGCCAACCAGTTTGCGTCACATGGCATAGCTTTTTTTTTGAGACAAATATGGCATAGCTGGTTGGTCGCCCTTCACGCATATCGTAATGGGTTTAATTTTCGGGTTCAGAATTTGCGTTCTGTGAAGACGACAGCTTGAGTTTTCGGCCCGCAACACTAAAACTTTCAGCCCACAGAACAATTTATCCCAATTTTATATAGGCCGAAGTTGTATTCTGCAGCCCATTTATTGCTGTCGGCCCACTTACGAGTACACCAGACTCCAGTACACACTGTGTCGTGCGGACTCCTATAGAGCAGCACACAGCCACACACACAGCCGCCGCCGCCGCCAGCACCGATGACGGAGAGCGGCCGGGAGATGGCCCTGCCGGCTATCCCCGACGAGCTCCTGGCAGAAATCCTCCTCCGCCTTCCCACCCCAGAGGACCTCATCCGCGCCTCCGCCGCCTGCGTCTCCATCCGCCGCCTCGTCGTCAACCGCGCCTTCCTCCGGCGCTTCCGCAAGCTCCACCCTCCGCCCCTCCTCGGCTTCGTCAACTACAAAGGCTTCCGCGCCGCCTTACCGCCTCACCCCTCCGCGCCGGCGGCCAGCGCCGTCGCCCGCGCCGCCGACTTCGACTTCGCCTTCCTCCCCGCACCTGCCTTGGACTGGTCCGTGCGGGAAGTCCGCGACGGCCGCGTCCTCCTCGACAGACCCTACCGGCACGCCGGTGATGGGCTCGGATCCGTCTTCAAGGAGATGGTGGTGTGCGACCCCCTGCACCGGCAGTATCTCCTGCTCCCCCCGCTCCCCGGTGACCTAGCCATTTCGATTGTTGTCGCGCTCGCGATTGAAGGGCCGTGCTTCGGCGAATCCTTCCTCGCCCCTCCCGGCGACGACGAGGAGGCAGCTGCTACTACTGAGGGGACGTCATTCAGAGTGATCTGGATGACGCTGCTCCAAACTAAGCTGATGGCCGCTGTCTTCTCCTCCGGCACAGGGCAATGGCAAACCCTGAGTCGGAGTGAGCCGTTACCTGGCTTTTTGTTATCGACGTGGAAGTTTTGGTTCGTGTCGCGCCATTACGCACATGGTTGCTTCTACTGGGTTTCAGGTACCAGTGAAAAATTGCTCGTGCTTGACATCCGGACAATGGAGTTCTCCATGGTTGACCACCCACCCTGTGCCAGATTTTCGGGCGATGATGTGGCCATCGTCGAGGCAGGCCAAGGCATAACTCTGATGTTTGTGCCTAAACCAGACACATCTCGCCTAATTTATACTGTTTGGCGAAACAATGGTGGGAGTTCCACTCAGTGGCAAATGGAGAATGAGCCATTCTTGCTGGATTCTGGGTCCGTGATCAAGGGTGCGGTGGGTAGGCACTTGCTCCTATATTATGTTGGAAGCTCGTCAGTTGAGCGAGGTTGTTACACGCGGGACGTCGACACATTCCAGCTTGAGAGGGTGTGTGGTGCATATCCCGACCCGTCAGAAGCATATTGCAACCTCCCACCGTCGTTATTATCGTTGCCGACAGTGTCAAGTGGTAAACTTTCTGTTGTATGCTAGTTACGTTCTTCCTTTCATAGTTATTACTATCACATAGATTGTCTGATCTTTCTACTCCCTCGTCCCATAATATAAGATCGTTTTTCAAGCTATGTTAGCTTGAGAAACGATCTTATATTATGGGACAGAGGAAGTAGTTTCTTATTGTGCTCAGTAATCATTATTTGCAAGGTTAAGTGGTTATTGGCTTTTTGTGCTTGTGACAAAGCTGATCAAGCTAATTGTTATGTTTGTCTGTTCTATTTGCCATCTTGTACACTAGGAGTAACTTTTTAGATGCATCATACTACCGTAGAAAAGCACCGGATGGTGCAATACCTTTGCCATGCCTTTAACCCTTTCTGCAACATGCATTGTTTTCTTTTGGTCCATTACATCTAAAAACCTTGTCACTGGGCAATTTCTTTTCATCCTATCCTGCATAAATGAAGCTCTTCCAAAGTCATCAAGTCAATCCATACAACCTGCTGCAATTTGCTGTCTGAATTAGTGCACTTGTCTCAGAGAACTACTTGCTACAATTCTAAATTTTGGTATAAATTTTCTGCACATCTTTTTATCTCCTTAGGCCTTTGGACTTTTGGAGAGCTGCTGAGAGTATTGCGAACAGAGCATAATCCAGACATTTATGTTATCTTTTACCAAATATTGTATGACACTTGGATTAGGTTTAAAATAACAATTGTAGTGCACACCCTCCATTTCATTGCTTAGTTCACCACTGCATGTCAAAACCCAACTTTGTTTGCCTGCATGCAGATGTAACCTTTTACATTTTCCCCTGTTGTCGGTGCACTTTTGTGGTTCTTGCTGTCATTAGTCTGTCAAATTGACACCTCTTTGGTATTGAATCATTGTACAATCAAGATACCGTCTTTGATGCATACTGTTGCAATGGAACCTATGACTCTTCTGCCCGATTGCCATGGCTGCTTTTTATGTGCAAATGTTATTTTTTTCTTTTCTCCTTTGATCATCGTCCTCACCTTTATGCATATGCTCCCTTTAATTTTCTTCCTTTGAAGCATGGAAACGCACAAATTGAAATTTCCCTGGTTGTAGCATGATTGAGCTTGACTGTACTAGTATCATCAACATTTTTTTACTGAACTTGGTTGAGTTTTGTGAGTGCTCGATTGCTGGATTTGACATGGGGTTCTCTCTACATAAGTTGTCTGCTGCAACTTTCTTAAATCTCAGTGACATCACTAAAGCTTTTCAATTAAAAATTTAAAATTCACCATCTCATCTGAAGGTCACTTCACTATAACCTACCTACAGACTATTTAATGGTGCACCA